ACACACACACACACATATCCCTATACACTACACTCTACAATCCTTACCCCATCCACCCCCACCATACCCCCCAACCCACCCACACCCTCAACCCAACCCACTCCAACCGAACGGCTGCTTGGTAGAGTCGGTCCTTCAAAAGGTCAGGGACCGGCACGAAACATGACCTTTTCCAACGCTGTCATGTCCGCCTGTCACGGCTGACGACGCCGCTCAGCTGACTCTTCGGTTCGATTGTCTTCGTCTCACTTAATTTCATTAATGTGTTTGCATCTGTTTGCCTTCATAGGGCGACCCGCGGCGATGCCTCTGCTTCGTCAACGAAAATTAATAATATAAAATATTTAATCTATCTATATATCTATCCACACATACACGCACGCACGCACACACGCAAACACACACACACACACACACACACACCACACACACACACACACACACACACACACACACACACACACATTTTTTGTATTCTCGCTGTGTATATTTGTGTAAATTCTCGTGGTGTTCTTTTTTTCTTTTTATTTTTTCTCATGTGTTTTCGTGCTCGTGCCTCCGTAAGTACGTGCGTGGTACGTGCAAGTTCGTGTGGTGCGCGCGCATGTATACGTGTTTGTGTATGTGTATGCATGTGTATAACAAACACATAAACCACTGACTAACCAAAGATAAAAAATTAGGACACCATGACGCTTCACCTTCGCAAAAAACTCTTTATCGATCCGCGATTCAGGCTGCAATATCCGTCTGGAAACCGCAAAAATAATAAACTCGCATAAAAATATAATATTCTACAAAATCGAAACGAAAGCAAAACAATAAGCAAGAAGTAAGAAATATATCCTGTGCAGGAATTTCACTGTGTAACTTAACATGTCATAATTTGTTTTCACTCGAGCAAATGAAAATTATGACCTACTCTGCCAGGTCTGGCAGATTTGCAGAGTGAATTTCAGTGAATTTCTGTATATGTGTGTGTGTGTGTGTGTTGTGTGTGTGTGTGTGTGTGTGTGTGTGTGTGTGTGTGTGTGTGTGTGTGTGTGTTGTGTGTGTGTGTGTGTGTGTGTGTGTGTTTGTCTGTGTTTTATAGCATGCGTATGTCTTTGTTCGAAGTGTCTGCTGTTACTTGAGTTTGTTAAGTGTGTGTGTGTACATATTCATTGTGTGAGTATGCTGCCTTTCTTTCTGTATGTGTGTACTTCTAGTTCGTTCGCTCGTTCGTTCGTTTGTGCATTTGTTTGTTTGTTGTATATTAGAAAGGCAATGATCTCAAAATCGGGCAAACCATTCCACCCATAGTTCGTTAATCAAATCTAAAAAAAATACAATCATAAGTTCGCGTTTTAATATTAGTCTTCACACAATAACTTTGCCAGATAGATATCTCGATAGATATGTAGACAGACAGATAAAGATAGATAGACAGGTAGATAGATATGGAGAGACAAGAGATAACAAGAGCTACATAAACAGAGAGTGAGAGAGAGAGAGAGAGAGGGGGGGCGATACCATCATTATAGAGATCGAGCGGAATCGACCTTTACATAAAAAACAACAATAGACAACACAAGAAACATTCAATAAGACAGCTGAGAGACCGAAATATCCCCATTAATGAAGTTCCATTATCAATCACACTCCATTACCGTCCCTGACAGCTGTTGATTGAAATGTGAAGGCAAAGGCGAAGGAGAGAGAGAGAGAGAGAGAGAGAGAGAGAGAGAGAGAGAGAGAGAGAGAGAGAGAGAGAGAGAGAGAGAGAGAGAGAGAGAGAGAGAGAGAGAGGAGAGAGAGAAGAGACAGGACAGAGACAGAGACAGAGACAGAGACAGAGACAGAGACAGAGACAGAGACGAGAGACAGACAGACAGAAGAGACAGACAGAGAGACAGACAGAGAGGACAGAGACAGAGAGAGAGAGAGAGAAGAGAGAGAAGAGGAGAGAGAGAGAGAAGAGAAGAGAGAGAGAGAGACAGAGAGAGAGAGAGAGAGACAGACAGAGGAGAGAGAGAGACAGACAGAGAGACGACAGACAGACAAGACAGAGAGAGAGAGAGAGAGAGAGAGAGAGAGAGAGAGAGAGAGAGAGGAGAGAGAGAGAGAGAAGAGAGGAGAAGAGAGAGAGACGAGAGAGAGAGAGAGAGAGAGAGAGGACAGACAGATACAGAGACAGGGACAGACAGAGACAGAGAGAGAGAGAGGAGGGAGACGTAAGAGAGGGAGAGAGAAAGAGAGAGGGAGGGGTCATAAGAGAGAAAGGGGGGAGAGAGAGAGAGGAGGGAGAAAGAGAAAGAAGAGAAAAGAAGAAAGAAGAAAGACAGAAAGGAGAAGGGAAAGAAATGAAAAGAGAGGGGAGAGAAAAAAAAACAGGGAGGAGAGAGAGAATGAAAGAGAGGGAGAGAGAAAAAACAGGAGAGAGGGAGAAGAGAGAGAGAGAGAGAGAGAGAGAGAGAGAGAGAGAGAGAGAGAGAGAGAGAGAGAGAGAGAGAGAGAGAGAGAGAGAGAGAGAGAGAGAGAGAGAGAGAATGAGAAAGAAATGAGAAAGAAAATGAAAGCCGAAAAGAAAACGATACACAAAACATCGAAAGACAAACTCAAGAAAAAATATATATCCGGTACGATGACGTTTATAACGTAAAAAAAAAAAAATCCCAACAAAGGTATAGCCAATTACCTAATCAATACATAACGGAATGTCACAACGAAAGCCACATCTAAAGTTTAAACAAGTGAATTACCAAACACCAATCCCACATTGTTTTCCATCCCATCAGATCGATAAAAAATATACATACACACTTATCTCTGACCTGGGCCTTCTGCATCATTCATAATAAGTTCAAATTAACGTAATTACTAAAGGACGAACCGACAACCAAAAAAAGAAAATGTAAACAAATACATTGTCTTTTCTGCTGAAGGATTAGCTCGAATTAAAAATAACAAAAAAATTAATTCCATCCGTTTGATAATATAAGCAACATGAGTCACAAAAGGCAAATTATCTGTAGTGCTATTTATATTGAACTGATAATAAAGAAAGACACGCTCGGTTCATGCATGAATAAGCATACACAAAAATAGATATAATTATCTTCTAAAATAACAAAATGGATCCTGCATGAACAAACATGCGTAAACTATTTGCATTTCTATCTAAAATAATGCCAATAATGACACGAATAATAAAAACCTAAAGACACCGTTCACACGACCACAACTTTTTGAGGTTAGTCCTTCCCCCCCAACCTTCCCATCCCTCCCTCCTACTCCTACTCCTCCCTCCCTCCTTCCTCCTCCTTTCTCCTTCCCTCCCTCCCTTCCTCCCTGTCCTCCCTCCTCCTTCTCCTCCCTCTCTCCCTCCCTCCCTCCCTCTCTGCCTCCTCCTCCCTCCTCCCTCTCTCCTGTCCTATTCCCATGCCACAAAAGACAAGGTTAACAACCTCTGGCCGTAATTCCTTCGCGAACAACTGTCATAAAAAAGGGAAAAAAATAAAATTGGGGAAAAGGACAAAAGCACGAATAGGAAAGCGAGAATACAAAAAATAAAATAAAAAAAAGTGTGTGTGTGTGTGCGTTGTGTGTGATTGTATGCGAGTGTATCTGTTTATATAGGCGTAAGTGTATGTATATATGTATATTGTTATGTATATTGTTATGTATATGTATTTATGTATATTGTTATGTATAAGTATATATGTATATATGATATGATATGTATGTATATAGATATATAGATAGATATAGATAGATATAGATATATATGCACATGTATGTGTCTACATGTGTGCGCGCCTCGCCCCACTTCCAAGCGCGGGGGAAACCGGGCCATCTTAAATCCGTAAAGCATGGCTGGTCCCTTTCCATTTTTATGACGGGCATCCCTCTACAGCTTACAGGGAGGTTTGCCAGCTGGGTCACTCAGCACGGGATAGGGGTGGGGTAGGGGTGGGGTAGGGGTGGGGGGTAGGAAGGGGAGAATAGGGGAAGGTGATGGGGAAAATAAAATTCTGAAAATAGCAAAAAAAAAGAAAGGGAGACGAAACGAAGGGGAAATGAAGAAAAGGAAAGAATTTTTAAAAAAAGAGAGAAAGAAAGAACATGGGAAACAAGCCAAGAACACAAGAAGAAAATTTTTAAAAACATCGAAAACCATCTCTAAAAATCCTCATTCCTGTTCAGCGCCATAAACCGCCTCAACTACAGCTCGTCCAGAGTTCCTTGCTCCCCTATGACACCAACGTCCCCATTCCTTGTATATTGAATATTGACGCCTCAGTAATTCCACGGCATCGAATCTTTATTCCTGTCAATAACACAATACAGAACATCCATTTTCTCTCTACCTCGAGATCCAATTAATTCCATCGCTTGTAAAATAATGCCGGCCAATCGAAGCGTAATTAAACAAATCCTCATGATAAGATATCAGCTGACCGTTTCAGTTACCCTGAGAATTATTCATTTGGACCAAAGACAACGGCATTTTGCGATGACACGATTGCATACTCAGAAAGACAGCAAAGATGCCTAAATAAAGTGCAAACAATATTTCAAGACATGAAATCTTTAAGTCTTTGTCAAGAAAACACACATGCACACACTTGCACACGCACGCTCACAGATATGCACAAGCACACACACACACACACATGCTCCCACAGGTACTCAGATACAGATTAACACATACACATACACATGCACGTACGCCCCCCCCACACACACACACACAAAATAACGCAACGCACGTCCTCGTAATCATAAACAAAGTGAAAAACGCACACAAGCGCGCGATCCGAGGAATCCCAAATGACCCCACGAGGTGGCATAACACCCCTCTCCCCCCCCCCATCCCTACCCAAACCTCAAGAAACGACACCCCAAAAACTATTTAAAAAAGATATAATAACGAGAGGAATAAGGAGAATATACCCAAAATAGACGAAACATAAAAAAAACAACCCCAAAAAAAAAAAAACAAGAAACTGAACACTCACGTTTATCATGGCGTTGGACGAGATCCTGAAGAGCGTGGCCCTCTCGTTGACCGTCTTGATCTTGGCGGTGAGGTCCTGCGTGCTGTCCAGGGCCTCCAGCTCGGCCAGGGACTTCTGCAGCGCCGCCCCGTGCTTCATGATGAGGTCGTGGCACGTGCGCAGGTCCTCCAGCTTGGCCGTCAGCACCTTCAGGGTGTTGGACACGTCGTCGCGGCCGGACTCGCTCACGTCCTCCTCGTCCTCGTCCTCTGAGGGAAGGAAGGAGGAAAAAAGAGGATTCAAAAGCCTTGCTCGCTATGGGGACGGCCCTCTCCTTGAGGGATTCTCTGGGATAAGCGTTATCATGGTCTATTTTATGTTGTTTTGTGTACGGGGGAGAGTGACAGGAGGAAGGAGGAGGAGTAGAAAGAGGAGGGAGGGACGAGGAGGAGGAGTGGAGGGAGGGAGGAGGAGGCGGAGGAGGAGGAGGGAGGAGGAGGAGGAGGAGGGAGGCAGGAGGGAGAGAGGAGAGAGAGAGACAGAGACACTGAGATAGATAAATAAAGAAAGAGAGAGAGAGAGAGCGAATTTTAAATGGTTTATTGATCCTGTAAGAGATTTAATACATAGGGGATAACGCATAATTAGAAAATATATTTATTAATGTACCATCTGCTTGAGTCAAGAGGCTATAAGGGACCTAACAAACGCATAACGAACATTTGCATTATTTTCAGTTTGTCTATTTATCTATTTATTTATTTTTGTACAGCGCATCTATTCCTCACGATCGATTTCCTCTTCAAAACTCAAATAAATAAACAATATTATGCAGAATTTCTCCCGTCTCCACAGAAAAAAAAAACTGAACACCAAAGAACACCGCCACAGCGCATCGGGTACCACGACATATATTTTCCCGAAGTTACCCTCATCATCATTACCTTCCCGTTTTCTGTATCGGAGCCTCGTGTGCCCCTCTTCCCCGCAACACCTCCACGCTTTGATACACAGGCACCGACTAAAACAAACTTGGAAAGCGCTTTGCCAATGAAATACCGCGTTGCACAGCTAAACCAAACTGGTATATTCATTTAATTTCGTTTCCATTACCTGCATTTAGAATGGATAACGTTTTTTTTTTTCTTATTCATAACATAAAAGTATTGACACGTGCGTGTATAATCATGATACTACAGGTATTAATGACATCCTTGCTTCTCAGAACATCAAATCATTTTTACACCAAGATCATACGCAATGCCTCTGTTTTACTCTCAATAATAATTCTACATATCTATAATCCACACACAACTATAAAAAACAATTACATCTACGCACGATAAAACCTAAAATAAAATAAAAATGAGTCTTAGTTCAACATTCAAATTAATCAAATACTCCCACCTCACTCTAGGACTGTACGTAATTTCTTCCTCCCTTAGAACAAACAAACAAACAAAGGACGATCGCAAAGGACAAACAATCCCAACGAACTAACGAATGAACGGAAAGAGTGGGAAAGTGTGGGGCAGGAGGAGACGGGATAGAGAGAAAAGAAGAAGAAAGAGAAGAGAGAGAGAGAGAGAAGGAGAAAGGGTAGAAAGGACGGGAGGACGATGCGAAAGAAAATGGAGAAAGAGAGGAGATGAAAAGGAGAAGAAGAAAGACGAAGAAGAAGACGAAGAAGAAAGAAAAAAAACCCGTCTCCCCCGCCTTTTACCCCGGCTACGCTAAGACGACCTCATCACGTAATCTTAAAAAACGACCTTCATTGTCTCGTATCCATCCTTAAGAAAAAAATCTTCGGTCATCGTCGTCCCAGAATGACGAACAGCTAGTGGAAAAGCTAGTGGAAGATCTAGTGGAAGAGCCAGTGGAAGGGCTAGTGGAAGACCTGGTAGATGAGCTAGTGGAAGAGCTAGTTCAAGACCTTGTGGATGAGCTAGTAAATGAGCCAGTGGAACACCTAGTAGCTAGTGAGCTAGTGGAGACCAGTGGGCTAGTGGAAGACCTAGTGGAAGAGCTAGCAAGTGAGATCACTGGCTAGTGAAAGAGAGAGGTTTGGGTACGAACGCCAGGGACACCAAATTTATCCTTTTACTTTTGGACTTTTTTATCGAAATATCCCCCTCCCCTTTTATGGCACTTTTTTTCATTCGTCTTTAATCATTCACGTCTCAATTTCTTTATTTTCCATTTCCGTATGTTCTCTTTATCGGCATATCTATCCCCTTCTCTTTTATTTTCTCTCTTTTTTTTCAGATTTACGACATAAACATATTCTACGGATGATGCCTCCCGGATTCAACAACGTCGGTGAGGGTTTTCATTAAATGGTAAGGAAGGGAATAGAAAATGTAGGAAGATAAATAGCAGCGAGGGGCAGAGGGAAATGGGTAGGGAGGGAAGAAGAAAATGGTGAGGAAGGGAATAGGAAATGGGTGGAAGGGAATAAGAAAATGGGTAGAGAGGGGAAGAGGAAAATGGGTAAGAAAGGGTAAGGGAATTGGAAAATTAGGGGGAATTGAAATGGGTAGGAAGGGAATTGGACAATGGGTAGGGAGGCGAAGAGGGAAACACATAGGGAGACGAATTGAGAAATGGGCAGGGAAAGGAATAAGGAAATGGGTAAGGAAGGGAAAAGGGAAATAGGGAAATGGGCAGGCGAAAAGGGGAGATGAGGGGGACGAGCAGGGAATACAGAATAAGGATGAGACCACAGAGCGAAGGAAAGTGGGGGCGGGGGGGGGGGAGCTCCATCATGAGGAAATGACGGACGCCAAGACAGGATCGAGGTGCGGGGGGGGAGGGGGGGGGGAGACGCTAGGGGATTTAATTTCCAAAAGTTACTTTTTTTTTCTTATCATTTGTATCTTTTTTATGTCTCTCTCTCTAACGACCTTGGTTGATCATAATGTGTTAATTTTTTCTATGTGAGCGCGTATTCGAATCTCTTTACGTATGAAATAGAGAGTGGAGAGAAATCAGAGATAAAGAGTGTTGGTGAAGGGAGAGAGAGAGAGAGAAGTGAGAGAGACGAGATTTGAGAACGAGAAACGAGAGAAGAAGAGCAGAAAGACGAAAGAGAAGGAAAGAGAAGGGAGTGAGGAGGGAAGAAGAGAATGAGAAGGAAGAGAAGGGTTAGACTTTTGATAGCGTGAGTAGTGGATAGATGACATAAATGTTCCGAGAGAAAGAAAGAAAGAAGAAAGAGAAGAAAAAATAAACAAGCGCAGCAGACAAAGACAGGCGGCATTCGCAGCCCCCCAGAAATCAAGTAAAAAGCCTTTAATCGGGGATGGAGGAGGGACTGATAGTAGGAGAGACTCAACTGGAAGAAGAGAGGAGAAGCACAGAGAGAAGAATTCAAGAAAAGAGTACTTGAAGAAACAATGAAAGCGAGAAAGATTCAGTCCACCAACAGAGAAGGAAGACAAGACTGAAGAAGAAAAAACCAGAGAGATGGAAGCCTGAATTTGAAGAGAGAGGGATAGACATAGGTTAGAAGAAAAAGAAGAAGCAAAGACCAAACCATAAAAGATTAATGATAAAAAATTAAAGGAAGGAGAAGGGAAACAGAAAGAAACAAGCAATATCAAGACTCAAAGCAAATAGAAAAATAGAGAGAGAAGAGGATAGAGCGACGAAAAGAATACAGAAGACAAACAAAGAATAAGATGAAAACAAGAGAACAGAAACAGAGACAGAAGACAAAAAAAGAAGCAAGAATAACAAGAAGACATAGGCAGAAAGAAGGAGTAGGCCCTAGAGATGACCAGAACAGCAGCAGGAAGAGCGCCGAAGTATGACCCTTAGCCGGTCCAAGCCGAGCGGATAGAGAGGGGATAACAAAAGAGAAGAGAAGAATGAGAACCGGAACGAGACAAGCTTAGGGTGGAGAGAGAGATTTGAAAAGTGTGTTGGAACACGAGATGGCTTCGGATTACGCAGTGCAGGACAATCCATTATTAGAAAGAAATGAACATCATAAATTTAGGCAAACCCATAACTTTTCGGTTCAAAATACATAACACAGAATAATACTACCACTTAAACCACACTATTAGTTGTATAACATCGGCCAGTATGCCATTATTCGAGAAGCTAATGCTGCGGGAAAGTCTTAGAGTACATATGCCAGTCGCGGGCATCCCTCCCCCCTTCCCCGCCGTTTTACAGCTTCCGACCGTCCGTCACTCGGGAGACAGATCTAAGGCAGCATGTTAACAACCAATCCTTTGAAATCATGCTAATTTCCCCAGGAGGCTAAAAAAAGCACAGCCCCAGAAAAAATAGATCTATACATAATGAAAAGGCGATGGGAGAGAGATCTATGAAGACAGATAGAGATGAGAATAGAGAGGACGACAGAAGAGACGAGAAAGAGATCGACGTGAGAGAGTGAGGGAGAGAGACTGAGTGAAGATTTCACGAGCGATGTTAGACGAAGATGAGATGCGAGAGAAGAGAGGAGAGAGCGCATAGAGGAGAAGCGAAGAAGTGAGGAAGATGAGAGAGAGCGAAGATGCAAAGGAGAGAGAGAAGAGAAGAATCAAAAGAAAGGAAAACCAGTTCTTTAAAAAAAAAGCGCTCTGAGCAGCAACAACCAACAAAAATGGTATGGCAGCTTTCACACCCCCACCCTTGAACCCAAAATCCCCCCTTTTAAATTCACACATCGAGCTAAGGGATGCAACTCCCCCCCCTTCCCCTTCCCACCTCCCTCCCTCCCTCCCCACACTGGTTTACCTGTCATGCTCATGGCACTGATGGTAAACGGGTGCACTGCCAACTTGGTCTCTGAGGGGAGGGAAAATAACAATGCTTTCATGCACATCATAATCTCCATTCATTGACAGACGAAAAGAGAAAAAAAATACATAAACAAATATAACAAAGATATTTCAGATTCGAGACGATGAAGCCAGGAAACGAAGTGCGCCCTGTGAAAACTGTCCACCGAGAGGCCCAGCCGAGGAGCGACCTCCACGTACGAGCCCTCGCCCCGAACGGCCTGCCCCCGCAGCGAACCCGCCGAGGAGACCTTACTGGGACCCGCGTCAAACCTCCTATGATTGAGCCCACCGCGCTCACAGGCCCGCTAAGCATCCATCGAGCAGCAAGAGCGCGAGGGCCCGCTCCTCTCGACACATCTCACGACTTTTCCTGGCATGTGCAGGAGCAAACACCCCCGGCGGAGCACTGTACCTGTTGGTGGTGCGCCAAAGTCTCGCCCCTGCCCTCGACCACAGCCACACCATCACCC